AACTCTTCAAAACTGTAAATGTGTACACCTGACACAAAGTAAATTACATTCAAATTTATGCTACTTATGAGTAAGCTATACCTAGAGTGAAATATTTAAATTATGACTTTTAAGGGTGATTACTTATGGGGTTTGAGATAAGTTTAGTCTGAAGATAGCTTTCATGTTGAATCATATACTTACTCATAAATAGTTTCGAGGTGATTTCTTAAAGTTTCATAAAGAACTTATGATCGATGGAATTCGACCATTTCAGTAGTTAAGCACTTATGTCAAGTAATTGTTAGAGATGAAAACGTGAACCATTGGGTCCCAACTTATGTATTTAGAAAACATTCACAATGAGACCTAAAGGTTTTGGGTGTTTTTATGCTGCACTAACACGAAGCAGATATACAGTAACCTTTTGTTTGATGATGTCCCAGCTGAGATAGCTTAATCATGAGAAGCTGACTTATTTGATGAGTGAAAATGACATCTTTACAATCAAACCATTCAATCCAAAAAATTGGTATCTTAAAATTTCCCCCCAAAACTAGATTTGTTTATCATTCAAAAATATATTATATTTTATTTATCATTTTTCGTACTGTGTAAACTACATCTTCATATTAATGACTGTTAGATCTATCGAACCGTCCAAGCCACCCGACTGAGATACGCGCAAAACCGATTTGTTTACAATAGCGGTTCTTACCTTAAACCTACCCTGGTAATATTGACTTATTACCCAGAGTGATCAGGTTTGCTTTGTGTTCACATTATTACTCTTATCATTATCCTTATCTCCCCTTACCCCGTTTCCTGTCTAGCTGACCTTTTATTTTTATATATAAGTGCTCTTAACAAATATATGTGTGACCAGATTGTTCGAAATGCACTGCGCTAATATATCACATAGTTCTGATAATCTTCGTCTTCTAATATCATTATCGAAATTTATCAAACGGACTAATTGTTTCAAATATGGAAAATGTTGCGTTTAAACAAGTGCGCAAAACTGTGGATAACCGCTACAGTGATTAAGATACAGTAATTATAATGATAAATACAATGATAAGTATAATAAACGTTATAAGTATATGTGAACATTTCAGAATATTACACTTCAACACGCGTTACAACATAAGTGTGAAAATTGTTGGTAATACAACCGCTTACTGAATTTAAATAAGTAGTATAAAACAATATACGAAGGAGTGGAAAGGGAGAGAGTAGAAACAATGTAAGACAAACTTAACAATGACATAATATTAACTTTTGACAGTCATTTCTGAAATGACCAAACGGGACACTGAATTCCAACAGTACATTATCTGTCCTTATTTGAATTACACCCAGTAATTAAAGACTTAATAGTTATGATCTCAATGTCCATTTTGAAGAGTTTTTAGCTGAATTCATATTAATTCTATCAGATGGTCTCATAGTTATTGAGAAAAATGTTATTTAAATTTTCATTTTCCATTATTAATGGGAAAATACAAATAATCATAAACGGAGTGTTAATTCTTCACGTAGCTGTAATTATAAACGGCACCAAAAGCCATAATGTCAATAAAAATTAAAAGATATCATATTTCACATTATTGATTTTATAATAAACAGGTTTCCAATTATGCACTAGAAATGAACACTTTAACTGTATAGTTAAATACTGCAAAAGAAGTTCAAGTATTGCTGGCTTTTTTTCACTTATGCATGTTATGAGTCGAATTTGGTTATCATACTGAGGCTGTATTACTAACTATATTTGGAACTAACACAGAAACACTTCTAGTTCTGTGAAATTGAAAGTTGTGAATCCACTTAGATTGATATTCTTAAGTTATGATAAGATGAATAGGTCATAACTGTTTAGGTTAGGCACTAAGGATCAGAATTCTTTAATCTTACATTCAGTAATTTCACAGCAGCTGAATAATCAATATTGTAATTTAGGTTCAGCTAACTGTGAACCGTGACTTTAGCTGATAATACGTTATCGTTAACCTGCGAATTTCAACAGCAATTTATTGAAGAAAATAACAAATAATAACCATAATTGTTTAATTCAATACCGTATGTTTGATTGCAGTGAAGAATTCTCTGTATAAGTATGCAGTATTTTAACAAATCAGCATTTAGTACCCATTTAACTTGTTAATATTCACAAAAATATATGAAAACATCTTTTAATATTAGTTAGCAGGAATTGGTCTTCATCCGTAAACGTTTTTCTTTGGTCACATTTTGCCATCTCATAATACATTAGACGTTTGAACTACTTTTCATTTCTCGAAAACATATGAAGAGGAAAACAAACCAAACGCCGTGACAGTGCGGTTTGAACTTAATGACTATTATTTAATACATAATATCATAAGTGTTTTAGAATATCGAAGAGATTAACATTAATGATTAGCCAATCAGAACAGACTAAAAATAGGAACAATGAATTGTAATATTCGTACAGTTAAAGAATAGGTGATCTACAAGTACGAGGATAAAGGATTTTCAAGAAACTAGCCATAATGTAACCAGAATGTTTAATGAAATGGTAAAATAACATGTAACACTGACTAAATCCATATTTCTCGTGTATTATAGAGACGACACAATAAATTAAAAATCAGTCAGTTACAACTAGCGTAAATGCACATTTATCATAATACCTGTTCTCACAGATATTCATAATGAATTTAAAATTCATTAAGTTAGTTTCGAGCATTTTGTTTATGAACTGAATTAATTCAAAATATGTAATTGAAGATAAATTGGTAAAAGTCTAGAATAAGGATAAATCAATCAGAATCACAAATGCGACTTTTAGGCTTTAACGAGAAATTCAAAGTTCACGTATAACAACCAGCATAATTATCTTCTCATACTATTCAAAGCATTTAGAATAATTGCGAAATATTACTTTTAACCACTATAGAATCTTGCAAAGTTTTCTGATTGACTAATAACTGTCTGAAAATGAATTGCAGTTGTTTTAAGTTCAGCGTCTATACTATACTTTCACCGATGAATTAATATCAAGAAACTTTTTATTACCTTGCATGTCCCACGATTGACCTTAATTACTAAAAAGTGAATTCGGTTTGATGTTTTCTTTCCAATTCACCATAAAACAAATGTGCATATTAAATAATAACCTGAAAATGACCATATTTTATTCAACAGTGAATAGATTTCTAAAAAGGAATTGGAAATCAATATGAATTGGACTTTATGTTAAAAAATAATTAACAGTATTGTATTAAATTTAGAGCAAGATTGTTCTAATCTTTGCTTTCTACGGTCATTACGATAGTTTAATATGAGATATTTGAATAGTAAATATAACAATGTTATTACAATATGCTGTGAGATTAAAACCAACTTTATTGAAATATTAGACAACAAATAGGAACGGATGATTAAAAGGCCTAACAATGAGATTGTTTACCGATAATAAGATGATGTGGTTAAAATTGATAAGAATAACAGATTCATTCAGAATACATATTATCACGTATAATGCTTTCCAAACACAACGATCATATTGCCAGTAAAAAGAACAGTTTATTAAATGGTTACTAAAAATGAAATAAATACATACTAAACAATTAATAGTAGAAATATAATTTGCTTTAAACACGACATTCTCTTAATGGTAGCCATTTTATTTATATTGAACTTAGTAAGACTAATAGGATTTCTGACCTTTCATGTAGTTAAGAACTATGAATAGTACTATGCTTTAAAAGCTGCAGATCACCGAAAAGTTCTATATCTATTGATTATTACTATATAAGTACTCAAGATAATATTTGAATCAGTAGGCAATTTATTCTATTTCGGTGCATTGTAGCAATCAATTGGTTCAATTTTGAAAATTTTTTTTTGTAAATTGACTCATGATTTCAATCAAAAACTTAACAATCTCAACAACCCATAAACAGATAATTACCATGTGCTCACTAGTGACTAGCTCCGTGAGAAAATTCTCGGAGTTCTGGTGAGAAGCCGTGACCAGTGGAGTTAGTCCGTGTCGGGTAGAAACAGGTGTCTACCTCAGTACAATGGAAGATGGTCGCGCAATTTCGTGGATTGGTTGAGGTTAAGCATTAACACCATTGGATGCAGGCTCAGTGGTCTAGTTGGTTAAGCGCCTGGCGCGAGACTGATAGGTCCTGGATTCGAGTCTCGCGGAGTGCGGGATCGTGGATGCGCACTGCTTAGGAGTCCCATGCTAGGACGAAACGGCCGTCCAGTGCTTCCAGGTTTTCCATGGTGGTCTAGCTTCAATTGACTTATGATTTCAATCAAAAACTTAACAATCTCCACAACCCATAAACTGATGATAATAATCTATTGATTTTTTGGGTTCGGTTGTCTAGTTTAGTAAAAAAAACTAAAACACAAGCAAGTTTACAATATATACAGAGACAATGCGTGAAAATAATTCACATATGAAATAAAAGGCGAAACCATTTGACTTATTATGTATATGCATGTATATATTTATATTATTTAAGGCGTATATTCCTATGGTAAGAAAATGACCAGTTTTACTGTACTAGAGTAAACAAAACTTGATTCTTCTCTTAATAAATAATTGATTATAGTAATTAGCTATTAACAAACAATCTAGTCAAAATAAATAAACAACAGTATTTATTTACCCAGTCCATTTTGAAACCACATATTCTTTTTTCTCTCATACTCTCTTAGATGTTTAATCGTAGTAGATAGTTAGTCGAATATACATCAACATGTCTACACTTGTAAAGCAGATAAATAAATTAAATAGATGAAACACAGAGTTTCGTAAAATTAAAACAAGTTCTCTCAAATCAAATAACTACAATTTACGAATTACCAATATGAAATACTGTACATATACTAATACTTATTCTAATTATGGACTAATAATAAAACTATTGAATGAGTTTTCACAATCGGTTAAGTTGTTGTTCAATGCTAAACTGAGTAACATAGTTTATACATCTAATCAGAAATAATAAATTCTTGCATAATTCAATTATATTTTTAAAAATTTTAGATTTAATCGGATCAACAGGTATAAATAAACACAGTGGAATATTTGTAAACGGAGAGGAAAATAGAGAGAATACAAATGAATGATTATAATTTCAACAGAAACATTATAATTGAATAGTAACAAATTCTAATAATCAAAGGAAAGAACCATTACCATCACAAAACCCCTTCAAGATCCAGTTGAAAATATAAACTTCTAAACCTTATAATATTAGCAAAATACACAAAAAAGTATCACAACTTATTTAGTGACAATATTCCCTTTAAATGTTTCTCGACATTAAGATAAACATGTAGAAAAATTACTGAAAATTATACTGACATGATGTAAAAAACTTTATAAGATATTACATAAGTATAGAAGATTTAATTCGTCCAAATAACTGTTATATCAATCATGTTAATATGAAAGAAGGAGAATAATATTTTCATATATACAACAAAGAACGAAATATAAGCATCAAAGAACTAACTGTACAGAATGATCACACAAAAAAAAACGAAAAGAAAATCAACCGCTTATAATCCATTTACTAATAGATAGAAATAGAATGAATAAACTTGTTCCAATCAAATCACCTGCACCGGTAGTGACAGCTATAGCGGAGAAATCAATTGATGCTAAGGATATAACATTATCATGAGAGTTTAAATGTTTTGTAGAATGCAAATATTTCCAAAGTTTGAAAACAATCCATTTCGCAAACTCGAGAAGTATGCATATCTAAAAGTAATAGTACGAGAGAAACAAGAAAAAAATACAATTATATTTTTCTATGTATTATACATGAATCAATTGGTTGTAGGAAATTTTGTTAGTGCACTCCCAATGACCTCAAAAGGAAAAAAACATTCACCACCATCGATCTTGCAGGGTAAAAGCAAGACATTCACTGATTGGACACCTAGGAGATGTAAAACATATAATTAAGCTAGAGCTTATAAGCTGTATGAATTGGGTTACATTTAGTGATGTATCTGGATTGATTGAAACAACTGAGTTATATGTTACATATATTAAGTTACTGTGTAACCTGATGCCCAATGCTAGCCAAATTAATAATTGTAGCTCATTTTGAGGATGTCGGAGCTGTTGTGCGCCCTTTGAATAGGATGTTTTGGTTGTGAACATAGCATTAGTCTATCAAGAAAGCACTGACTATTAGTCTGGTTTGTGTAGATGAGTGTAGACTACCTTAATGAAGTTCTAGAAACAATACAAAATAGTGACTAGAGACCTTAGGGAAACATAGTCGTGCACTGAACCCAATAGTCCAAATGTCATAACTTTGTTTTTCCAGATTTTGAACAGTTTATTTCACTTAATCAATAATTAGCTAGTTTTATAAGAATGTCATTAAAAGTTATTTACAGTTTCAGCTGTGTAAACTGATGAATTAAGTCTTCTCTAACGTTATGAACTAATTATCCAAGGAAATCCACTGATCAGAAAGTAAAAGAAAAAAATTTAGTGTGCTATTGACTAATTCAAGTTGTTTGACAATAATATTCATGTTACTTTTTCAATAGATTCCTATATAATAAATTATCATTATTATTGACCCCCCTTTTGTATCATTGAGTATTGCAGTTTGTTCAATCTCATTCGTTTTAGCGATTTCGTAGGGTCTACTAACCCACATACAGTGAGTGACAAATCCAGAGGAAATACGAAAATGATAGATAAAAATACTTAAGATTCAGAATATTGGTAGTACATATAGGATTTTTATAATCGGATATTTATTTGATCCTTGTTAAGATAAGTTTTAGCAAAAACATAGGTCTAGGGAACTTGATTCAATAAAAAATAGACTAATCTCCAGTTATATATAGTAATCAGCAAGCAAATAAGAAAATAATTTACCTGTATGAATCCAGCGATGAGGTAAGGAAATAAAATGTCAAACTGCAGAGGTGATGTGATCTTTGGAGAATTATCCTGTTTTAAATAATAACTGACAGTTAAACTGACTAAAGTTAAGGTAAAATGTAACGGGACACACAGGAATCTGATAAGTTTAGATACCCGTGAAACATCAGTATGAATTTCAAGTACTTTTCTACAGGACCCCGATGTTCCGAATGACTGAGATGATGTGTAGAAATGTGAATTATGAGTTGTAGATTTTCTATCAGAGTTCACAGTGTTGACTTTTTCAACCGTGACTAGACCAGATGTTGGAGAAACAATGAACGACTCCTTCAGAGGAGGCTTTTTTGAACAAGTTATTGAATGCAGGCGTGTTGTCATTCTGCTAATTAACATTGAACCAAAAATCCCTCCCACACCTACATGCAAACAAAAAAGCATAGAGAAATATGTGAGAATATAAAATCAATACAAGTTAATAATTTATTTAACACCATCATAGGCTGTACAAAGTATAATTGGTGATTAAACGATCACCTCAACTAAAAAAGCTTACAGTTGATAAATATGTGTGGTACATAAATATTTGTAATATTCAGTTACAGATTGCTTTGGATGTAATAACATTCGTAACATCCTCCCTATTGTACTAAACTATGAAAAATAACAACAATAGATGATATAGGATTAGAGCATTTGTGCTTTAAAATTAGAGTTAATTAAGTGAATAGATAACGATACATTCTTGAGATGGAAGCTGAAGCAAATATCTTTTTTTGCATAAGTATCGGAATAGTTCAGTCTCATAATAGAGTAACAATTGCGATTAGTTTTACTACCTCAATATTCGGTTTAAGCATGGAAGGATCACAACAATTCGGCGTTACAGTCAAAAACATCCTAATGATGACAACACAAAAATACGAGCTTATAACTACATAATATCACGGGACAAAAGTCAATGAATCATCTGGAATACAGTGAAAGCGAGAATCGAAAATCCTCAGATAGTTCAAAATAAAATAAGGAACTAGTATTCAACTGTCACAAGTTATATAATGAAGTCTAAGTACATCGAATTCGAGTCCCTTCAGAAAGCAGCAACGGATAGTTTATTGTCTAACGTAAAGTGAAAGAATGACTGAGCACAATCTTCCTTCAAATAATACACTTTTGTGTGCCAGTCAGCTACAACGTAGGACCAGACACATATATGCATCGGTCCAAACTCCCATACCGCATTAGCACAACAAGATGAACACCGAATTCACAGAAGTAGTTAATTCAATGGTGGTAATATATATAAGAAAGATTGCATATAATGATATGGTACAGGAAGAAAGAATTAGTTCGTAGAAAGAAAGATATAAAGCAATTTTAATCTCATAGTTTGAGGGAAGAAAGAGAGTGTATACACCTAAGTCATTGTGATCGATTCTCAGCCATGTCACCCAGTCTCTAACCATTGGTTACAAAAGTCCCGCAGACCCCGACAAAGTAGTCTGCGTCTACCAACATGGCCCACATCAGATGTTAGTGACTTCATGGACTGGTGCCACGTTTGGTTTGACTGCCTCTAACTTTCTCCCAACCGTCCCCAACACTAGTCAGCATTGTGCGCCATGGTAATCGATGTCCAGGCATACATAACACGTGGCCCAACCATCTCAGTCTATGAAGATTCACGACCTCATCAACTGATTTATCATCATTCCCGAATACTCTGCATCTAACCTCATTATTACTTACCCGGTCATCCCAGCAGATGCGAGCAACATTTCTAAGGCATTTGTGCTCAATTACTAGTAGCTCACGAGCATCTTCTACTCTAAATGGCCACGTTTCACAGCCGTGAATTAAAACAGAACGGACTGCCGCGCAGTATACTCGTCCCTTAATAGACAGATAGACGGATATCTCGCCTTCGCCATAGATGACGTAAGTTGGTAAAAGCCGAAAGAGCTTTCTGAATCCGTGATGAGATTTCGTCAGACGCCAACCCATTTGGGCTAGTCAGACTTCCAAGATAAGTGGAGTTGTCAACGCGTTCGACTACTTCACTCCCTATCCTTAGTTCAGGTGTTGACGCAGGTCAGTCCTGGAGCAACAAATTGCATTTAGAGGCGGAGAAACACATCTCAAGCAACCTGGTATTGTTGCTCAGTGCTGCCAATAGACTCTGCACTTGATCAGCGTCTTCATCAAACAGGACCATACCACCTGCGTATTCTAAGTCGATATATGGACCTTCCGGTAGGACATGAGTTCTCGAAAATTCAGAGGACGAGAGCGTTATTCCCAGCAGTAGGTCTATAATTAAGTTAAACAAAATTGCAGATAGTGAACAGCCTTGCCGGTCACCGCTCGAGGTTGCAAAATCAGATAACAGTTCGCCATAAGCTCAGACTCGATCAGTAGTGTTCAAGTAAAGAGCCTTCACAAGTTTATGTACTTCTGAGGTACGCCTTTCAATTACAGACACTGCCACACAACCTCTCAGTCAACAGAGTCAAATGCTGCTTGTAGGTCAAGAAAGACCACCATTGTCGGACGCCGATAAACATGTGTGTTTTAAAACCTGACGAATGGTGAATATGTGGTCGATGCAACCACGACCAGGTCTGAAGCCAATCTGATTTTCACGTTTTTGCAGTTCACGAATCTTAGATAGGCGCCCGATGATTATTGAGGCTAGTATTTTATATGCTATATTAGTCAAGCTAATCCCTGTATGGTTATCACAGGATAATTTTAACCCCTTCTGTTCTGTCACTGTTCATAACGGTGACTAGATTTTTAATAACCTTACCGTTTAATGACACAAATTTGATAATACTGTAGTGAGCGAGAACATAAGTGGGAACAATCGAGCAGAACATCTTAGTAAAATCTGAGAACCATACAGTAAATACTTTATTTGCAATTCAATCAATTGTCTCAAACTTGACTGTTCCTTTTGCAAGTATCAGTCAATCGTCTCAGACTTCATTGTTTCGTTTCCACACCAATGATTCTTTGTTCTCGTTCTATTTCTTCGATCTTCTTAACTTTATGACTCGAGGCATTTCAGTTTCGATTGACGATACATGCTACTTGTATCTGTTAACATCAGTAGCACACACCACAATACTATGAAACCAAAATATAATTCACAAGTGATGCAAATGTGCCACTAAATAGAATTACTTAAAAACTTTAATCAATGTTATGTAATTTCGATCTCTGTAGAATAGCGCCCAATAAATTACTAATTATTATTTTAAGTCAAAATAATATTTGAGGATAATATAAATTTCAAATAACAATACAAGTCTTACAAATATTTAATGTCAAAGTACTGAAAAGTTGTCTTAATATTTCATGAATACCTAAATGTAAAAAAACACTGATTTCCGTTTAGACATTGACGTACTTTTTAAGGCTCCGTAATCAGTTTCTTAACTTTTGAAATACTAATTACAATGGTTGCTATTTTGAACATTACTACGCTTACCAGTGGGTATGAGATAGTGGAATAGTATGAAACTATATTCACAAATAAAACAGAATTAACATTATTGTCGTTACTTATGGTTATCGCACTTTAAATTACATAACGTTATGTACATAAAAATAACAAACGTTTACTAACAACGTTATACTGTCTATATATATCATGAAATATTATATTCTTAGATGACAAAAGCTCAAGAAAAATTATTGTTATTGTACATGTGATTGATTTGTAGCACTTAGCAAATGACTCGATAAATTATATACTCATAGGCGATTATTTACAATGCAAAATTGCATTTATTAAACACAACAATCAGTATTACGAATATTTTAAATATAGATTTGTTGCTATGCGCAAGAAGTTACTTTGATGATTAACTATACTAGATGTAAGCAAACTACGACATTTAGTTTCTTATACCTCTAAACTAAACAGTTAAATCAATCACTATCAGATACATTTCAACATAAAATAACCGAACTGGTAAGTTACACTAGAAATGTATCCAACGGAACTGCCGCATTTGTCACAAATCAATCCTAAAACTTATAACTACGAAGAAAGTTCAACTTATACAAGACAATTATTGTAGGTTTTTTCTTTTCACAGTTGAACATATCACTACGTGACACATTATTTACGAAGTAAAAAGCAACATTTAATAGAAAAGTCGCGTGATGAATAACTTATGTAAACTATTAAGATGAGATGAGTTTCATAATTTGTGGAACTACTACTGATCTAGAAAATGATAAAGGTTCTGAAAATAGGGACATTACCATTTTACTGCAAAATAAATTTCAAACAATGCAGGAAAAGCCCAGTTGTTTTCCAAATTAGATACTTATTAGTATGATTAAGTCAAGCGTTATTTTAGGTATAAAATCTTTTTACAAGACTGCAAACAACATATGTTTAGTTTTATGTCTGACTGCAAGCAGTTAATAGGAAGTTCAAGTACTGAACTACATTGTATGGAGTACGTATGAGTATATAAAAATGGTATTATTCTCGCTTTTGCACACAATGTGGTTAAAACAAGTTCACAAAAGTATATGTAAGATGAATTACCATTTATTGGGACTTGAAGGCGCGCAATAATAGGCCAATCTATCAGAAATCGGGCGGATATATTCCCACAAATGCTAGTAAAGTCAAAAGTTTCATTTACAAAAGAAAGAAATTGTTCGATATTACCTAACACAATAATTTTTTTAAAATATTATGCAGGAAAAGAATGGGAATAAGATGAAAACAGTTAAAGATTGCCAAGATTTCTCAAACAATAGGAAGTATGAACAGAGGCACTTGAACTACAAGAAGCTAATCGCGCTTTTATACGAATACAGAGGGAAAATATACAACAGTTCTAACTTTCACCACATCCAGACTTATCTAGGAGCAGTTTTTTCTAAACAAAATGTAGATATTTCTTACTTCATCAACTAGTATAAACCATCAAGAGTCAATATTTTGAAACAAATACATCATTGCGTAAATTACAGAAAAATTCTAATGAAGTGGGGACATTTATGGCTTTATTTAAAAAATAAAGTTTTTCTATAACAGATAATTTATATCACTTTATGAGTATACTGTAGATTACATCTGAATGATGGAACAAACTACGCGTGAAAACTTGATCGAAAATATATGAACTAATGAGAGAATCTATAGCTGTAAACAGTAAACTGAAACGTGCATCTTAAGGAATTTAACGTTAGGTAACAGTTGCACACTGGAGAAGATGGATTCATTCATCATCTATTCACAGATTTTGAGTTTAAATATTATTTTTTCCACAAATTTATTTCTTTTTACTAACTATATTCCATATATTTAGTATAATTCATTCACATACACATCACTATCACTTCGACTCACTTGATGTGTATCATGTTAGTTTTATCTTACTGAAGTAACGTAGTGCGGTAACTTGGACTGAATTACGATTGGATCAAATCCTACGGTGTTTATGGTGGAGTCTGAATTTGATAACTTTAATTTTATTTCTGAAAGACACTTTCATTAATCGGAAATTTATATTATTATTAAGAAATATTTTTATTTGAGAAAACATACTATGCCACCTACATATACCTAGTAAACTATCACAAGTGAAAAAAATTACTGATATGATGGGATTAAAAAACAGAATACATTGTGATTTTGTTTAACATTACTTCTGTATGTTTAGTTCAGTGTGATAATTACTCAATGTAGTATTTGTTTTGTTTTTCCAGTATGATAATCTATTTGTTATAACATTAACTCATTTGAGCGTGATGTTTGTTGAAGCTATGATATTCTTGTATTAAATCAACGTGAACTATGTTCAACATGACATGCGACATGTACTTTTTTGTAACTCTGGGTACTTTTTATATATATGATTCTATCCTAATTAATGATCAAAATGGGTATACAATCAATATATGAACGTAATTTTGACTGAGGTCGTCGTGTTTTGGGGTTAGTAAACCTTCATTTGTACCAGTCTTAATGTCCTTACTTCGCGTCGTGGGAATCGCGGTGGCTCCTCCCTTTTCAAGTATAATTAATAAGCGTTTCTGATATAACAATTGACGACCAGTCATAACATTTACGTACGTAGTCAGTAGGCAAATAACATTTACATCGTAAATAGCCTCTGCCAGGGAAGTCCTACTCACTGCCTTCTCGAACCACAGGTGTTTACGAAAATGAGAGGACGAAAAGAGCATGTCCGGAGCTTTAACCGGATTCAAAACCAATGGTGCACATGGGCTCCAGTATCCTGAGGGAACAAATGGCGTGTGAACCAATTGTTAATCACCGGCTTCCATGGGACTGCATCTCCTTACGATGCTCCACTGCCTTGTGGATCAGACCGTCAGGTCGAAGGCTCGGGGAGTGGCTCCCTAAGAAAACCACCTGCTTCGGTTTGGGCATCTGGGCAGTATCACAGCCCTCACATAAATCAAGCGAGATTTGTGTGGCGCATATGTATTTGGTGCCTCTTTGTACCAATATCTATGTGTTCAAATAAATAAATAAATAAACATCGAAAAGAAGCTATATGGACTAGATTAGTAGAACAACCACAAAATCTTCACATCATAAATACCATATGGTTTATGATTTTTCAAGCAAATTTTTACTTTCAACTTACCTACTCATGATAATTGCAAGAGTTAAAGGAATGATAGTTTCTTTAAAAGTATTAGGTGTAATAATAAGACTGAGAAGATCACCAGATACGTTGACATTTGAATAATATAATAAATAAGATATACTCAAAATAAGAACCACAGAAATCATGCACACGGCAACGGTGACAGTCAAAGTTGGATCTACAAGAACATTACCAAAAATAAATTAAAGGTGAAAAATATTTTGATAGATTCCCTTACCTAATGATATACCAGACATCATATATAATTAAAAATTAGTTGGACGTTGCAAAATTACCTTTATATACATGATCGACTCATCAGAGAAACTATTAGTTAAGGGGATTGAAGTGTAATTAGTGAATCAGTACTACTCACTAACCAAGTATTAGACTGTGCAATAGGCTATGATCCATATATAATGTGTGATACTATTATGCTAAATCGAAACAGGAGGCGCAGAATCTGATCCTGAAGCGGAATCAGGAAGTTGCTATTCCATTAATTCAGTAATCTGATTAGTCGAGGTATTTATAACAATATATTTAGTAAATAGTTGTGGAACATATTTGCTGATTGACTTAGTGAGACGTCAATTACTATTAACGGGGACGCATTCAATGAGAGATGAGTCATCCCTGATGCATAGTAGAGAACCAACCACCACAAGGCTATAACATGATGCCATAGATTTTTCAAATAAGAACACACGGAATGTACCTTTTGGATAGACAAATATCCAGTGAATTTGTATTACTTTACTACGATTATGAACAATCATTGAGATAGAAAGAAAATAGTGAAGTTTCTCCGGGACTTATACGAATATACTGGTTGTAATATCTGTAACACGATGAAAATATTTAAGAGACAGGTTTGAACGATGTCGGTAGTTTCACAATGGATGGATCCGACATTACTTTTAATTATACCTCACAGAAAAAAACCATTTAGCAAACTAAAACTATTTGAGACAACAAATAAATTCTGAAGAGGGGTTCTGAGTGAGTTAAAAATCAAAATCTACTTGTAAACGTGACTTAAATTGAGGGAAGCTCCTCACAAAATACTCCTTAATAGGTGATTTGACATCTGGAGCCACAGATGATGACAATTTAAGTAAAATGATTTCCGTGTGGTTCTCTTAAAGTGTTTTGCGTTTTGTTATGAAACTAAATGATCAAGGATCGAAATTAGTCTAGAGAATTTATTACTGATTCCCATACATTATTTATTACATCAAATGGAATGACACCAGAACGTGATCTTCGATAAACTATGTAGACCGGCAGTCAGGTTTTGTTGCTACGTCTTGTTTTAAGTTCGTTGAAGCTATTTCAACCTTAGTGGAAGTCTAATCGCTAGGAACTAGACCGCTGCTGCAGACCAGTTGAACCATCCCCGTACGTTTTACAAGATATTTCAATCACCTGTCATGAAGTATGAATAACTGCTAAAATGATACTGAGCGTGATTCAGTAAAGCAACTATTGTTTTTGATGATTGTGAATCTTCTGCTTTCATAATATTAGTAAATGAGCTTCTAAGATAAGTTGTGGATTAATCTAGCGTAACATTACTTTGTATTCTTAGAAAGTCAATCACAGATTAATCAGTTGCCAAGGCGATAACTTAGTTTTTGCATTTACCTGTTGGTTTACATATATATAAAGCAAAATGTTTGCCAAAGGGGCGATCGGTATTGACTAAATGTCCCAGAATAGAGTTCCCATTGTTTTATTTTGTTCCTCGACCAACGAAGCAGGATGATGCTCAGAAATCCGAACATTTAATGTTGCAAGATTATACCCTTCCTTCGTCGGCCAGCCAAAAGTGCGCTCAAGTAAAACAACTGGCCAGTCCTACTGCCTTTAAGTATACTTACTGTTCCAACTGCTTTTATGGAGCCAGTTATGTTGGGAGTAAAACCAGGCGATTGTACAATCGGATTAATTATGATGTACAATTATTTATTTGGTATTGATTGATATCTAATTTAAAAACCCATGTATTAGTGTACGGTTTTGATGAAGAACGAATCAAAAAATATTTTTTTCGTCCGACAGTACTTAATGGGATAATCACTAAGTCAGATATGACTTCCCAAGATGTGTGAAACCAAATGGAAACAAATAAAACGCAGGACATTAGAAAAACGGTGTTGATGACCACTGTAATAGAATAAATATATATGGGGATAACACCAAATGTATACGAACAATAATTTTAAAATAAAAAGTCACTAAGGTTTGTGAATAAGTACACTTAAATTCAAAGCTTTCATATAACTTATCAAGGTGGCTCAAATTTTACTTGACAACTAAAATCAAAAGCGTGATGACTTACATTTATCAGAAATATTTATTTGGGTCAAATATTTACGAAAATTGAGGTATCCATATCAAAATGGACGTGACAATCGAACTCGAGAAACTCTCTGGCCATAGAGAACCTTCACCATTTTGACATGGTGAATTTTACGGGAAGCTATTGCTATATATTAAGCAACACTGTTCGTTTATTAGTAAAAACTGGAAAATCTACACTTTGGGAAGCCTATTAGTGACTGAATACAAGTTATAAACTACTCAGGTGTCTTGCATAAACTATTGCATTGAGGAGTGAGTAAGAGTAGATTAGTTGTATAAAATAAATACAAATAAAAAACTTACGCACGATAAAGTAATAGTTCACATGTGAAATAATCAAAACAGTCACAAGATCACCCAAAGCGGCGGCTGCGGGTGGAGCAACATTATCAGGATTCGCTCCGCAAAAGACGCAAGCACATACTATCGCGTAAACAACAACGCCTTTAAAAATTTTGAGCAATAGAAATTGAACACTTGCCTATAAAACACGTGGCACAAATGCAAGTCATTGATGAAATGCAGATAAGATGAACAAGATCAACAGGGAAATGAGATGTACCCGATGATTTATGTAACGTTATTACCACTAAAGGTATAATTGTGCTTGCAAACACAGCAAGAACCTGTTAAGATATATATAACAAATTTAGACGCTTAACAAGTATAAAAGCCAGAGTAGTTGTGAACAACCAGAAAGATAGTTCGTTAAGCTTTCTTCGAAAATGAACCTAAAAGTTTTAGGAAAACATAATGTCAAACAAACCACAGTAGCTAGTCGAGAGGAAAGAGCAACTTCTAAATTTCCTTTCAGTCCAAGAATTGGTGGGATGATCTCAAAAATACTTTCCTCTTTCGAAGTTAAAGTGCCCTACAAGAATATAAATTATTAATGATGACCATACGGAGGACTTCAGCATATCAATATAACATCCCGCAACTACCATTCCAACACCTGCCAAAAGACAGGCGGGAAACATTTCACGAGCGACATAGTAAATATGCCGAGAAGAAGACATTGTGAAATAAGTGTTTAAACAATGAGAACATTTCGAAAATTCTTCAGACTTTGGCCAGGGAGTGTAAACAGAATCTAAAGTACAACAAATATTAAGTTGAGTAAGACTTACGTACTTCGCTGGCTAAACATTCTCCATGTGAATTTACAATAATTTGACGAAATATTGTGATCCTTGTCAGTTGGTACACTAGTTTGGGTTTAACAATAAACAAAATAAGGTCAGAAAAGAACATTTATGTTTAGACTTTGAGTAAAATTTGTCAATAAAGCTTAGAGACCAGATAGTTGAAAGTTGTATACTTTACAAGTCGAATCAACACGGCCAAATTTTGCGTTCCAACGTACAAAACGGAATAACACCTAGTTACTTCGTGAAACATTTTTGTAACTTATGAAAGTTACTTGGATCCACTAAGTGGTTTGTGAATAGAAAAAGGTGAGGAGTCGAAAATATTCAATAAGTACTTCTACAAACAGAAATAATTTCTTGGAAAAGAAAATTTCAAAGTATCAAAACAAGATAACCACCTTAGAAATAAAAACACGATAAAGAATTTGTGGACGAAGTCCCTTTAAGTCAGATAGCACAATATGTTTTGTGGCTATATAACCAAATAGATGTCAAAATAATTGGTTTAGTTAACACCTTATCTAGATATGTAGTAGTACGAATGGATAAATAAGGGAGAAATAGTCAAGATCGTCAACTTCCGTCAATATCCTTTCAAATTTCAAGAAAAGTGGATGAATATGAAATGAAGGCATCACAGAAACAGGAAGTGAATGATATATCATAGTTTACTTACATTAGATTCTTTATAGGTATATATAAAAACTACGCTAATTCATGGGATCAAATTTTCAGGCATAAAACATTGGTAAGATAAACAATGGCATTATAGACAGAGTTTTGGGTTCAGGTTAATCCATTACAAGCTATGATATACATAATTTAGATGCTTCACTGCATTTATTGAAAGTGTAGGCTAGTTATATTTTTATATAAAACTGTTGCAGTAACCATCCTCATTGAACGTACCCACAGCAGCAGATGCTACGGTTAAGTACTTAATAAGATCGAATTCTCTCGAGGTTATTTCAACAACAGATAATATACCACCCACAATACTTTTTCTAAAAATTGATATTTGGGTCTAGATTACTCACTATAACTAAAGTGTTTTCTGGGTTATTTTCGCAAATACTTGCAGTATACAACCTGGTTTTCCATATAACAAGAGTCGTCCTTAACTGCTATGTTTTTGTTATCAACTTCCATAGAAAAAGCCCGAATACTTGAACCACTCATAGCTGTATTAAAATAAATTCTACTAGTTCTACCGTCACGATTCAATATATTCAAAATAAATTGATTCAGGTTAACCTTTTACCCGATATAGTGTCGGGTAAATATGGGGTATACGGAAATTTTATACGCGGTGTTAAACCGCTATATGTCTGGTTGCTATAGTTATTGCCTACCGACCAATGAAGGGTTTTCTGAGTCATGATATAAGTTGCACTGAATGCTGACATAAATTTATAATTAGATAGATATGGATCATAAAGTTATGATATAAAGAAAGGGTTGTACACTAATGTAAGCTGTTTTGAAAAGAGGTCTCGAGATCTGTGTAAACCCAACCCAATCTCCCCATTTTCGGGAAGCCGCTATAGAACGATTTGGGGAATATTCCAGGAAATGGCACCAAAACCCCAAAATTTCCACAGATCTGGGTAAATTTCCTAAAATTTTGGGTTTTCCCCAGAATCTTACTACCTTTTGGGGAAATTCGCCTATATTTATTGATAAAACCCCAACATTTTGCGCAATTTCGGGGAAACTATTCAAAATATGCCGTTTTAACGCAATATTTCTTCATAATTTTCTACAGGTATCAATAAAAAGCCTGACGATTCAATAGTAAGTACCCAAAGGTTCCTACTCATGTATTCCATTTTTTCCTGTCAACTTTGCACAGTAAACGCAATGCCGAAGCAATTTGACCACAATTCATAACGAGAACCGATCTGTCGCCGCAGTTAAAAGACTGACGTGTTGTACATGGAAATCTTTATCCAAGTTTAACAATGTACAAATTTTCCATTAATACATTACTTCTCCCAATTCTTAGCAATTGCTCATGCGTTTTGAATAAGTACATTAGTTTGATGTTGAACTTTCATTTACAGTGTTCTACAAAAAGAAAAACAGTACTCTTTAGTAAGCAAACAAATGTCATGGTCATGTCAGGATTAAAAGACTTGACCTCCTTTAAAGGAGCTTCAAAAGTACGCAATTCCTCATGTGTTTTTAATGCTAATTCGAAACTTGAAGTGTCTATGTTGTCGCTGCACCTGTTCTTCACACCCATGTATGATCAATTCTTAAGTTGGAACAGGTGTTTAAAAATGTTTAGGTGGTCATATTGTTCGAGATCATATGTGATGAACCTCGGAAACCAACCAAAGCGTGCCTAGCTCCCATGCTGACACCGGAACTGGCAATCACTTGTACGTTACACGGGACTAAGAGTAAGCTAGGTATCAGTCATTACAGATTCTACAGAACGATTCAAAGTAAGTTGACATTGCAATATTAATATATTTGTAGATGTTCTGTGTTCACGGTTCTGAGGTGCAGCCTGTCCAGAGAAAGAAACAACACAAGCCATGGATGTTGCACGCAAGGCTTTCTTACACGACGCAAGAGATAAAGTCAATGAGCGTGGATGGCGATCAAAAGAAAGGATGAGCTGAATGCACTTTAGATCTTTGATTAAATACCAGTTTTTGTTTCGATATTAGTTTGTAATAAACATTTATACGCAAATAATTATTTCTTGTCCATCTTATTTTCGGCTGGCTTCGCAAGTATTAGCAGACGTAACCGTAGGTTTTTTATCTCGAATATTCACAATGTTGTTATACCGCTGGTACGTCATGAACATTTTACGTGACATTCAAGATACGTAAGTTGGATGATTGTCATGACATTTGTTTGCTTACTAAAGAGTACTGTTTTTCTTTTTGTAGAACACTGTAAATGAAAGTTCAACATCAAACTAATGTACTTATTCAAAACGCATGAGCAATTGCTAAGAATTGGGAGAAGTAATGTATTAATGGAAAATTTGTACATTGTTAAACTTGGATAAAGATTTCCATGTACAACACGTCAGTCTTTTAACTGCGGCGACAGATCGGTTCTCGTTATGAATTGTGGTCAAATTGCTTCGGCATTGCGTTTACTGTGCAAAGTTGACAGGAAAAAATGGAATACATGAGTAGGAACCTTTGGGTACTTACTATTGAATCGTCAGGCTTTTTATTGATACCTGTAGAAAATTATGAAGAAATATTGCGTTAAAACGGCATATTTTGAATAGTTTCCCCGAAATTGCGCAAAATGTTGGGGTTTTATCAATAAATATAGGCGAATTTCCCCAAAAGGTAGTAAGATTCTGGGGAAAACCCAAAATTTTAGGAAATTTACCCAGATCTGTGGAAATTTTGGGGTTTTGGTGCCATTTCCTGGAATATTCCCCAAATTGTCTCCCAATTGTCGACAAATTTCCCCTAAATACACAACGTAAGGGGGAAAAGGCGACACTGCTCCTTTATTTACGCTTTAGTCCGCTTTATTTCTCCTTTATTCGCCTTTATTTCCCCTTTATTGGTTGCTTCGGAAAAAACGGATCAAATTTCCCCAAAAAGTTTTGAAAACCTGGATTGACTCCTAAATTATATACAAGACCTTCAATCATTTGGCAATCATAGTCACGAGAGACGAAAGTAGTTAACAATTATAAGGGCAAGGTAAAAACGGTAATCCCTTTCAAATCTGTCCGCCGTTTCGTTTCAACGACCTTGAACGCGCTGACTGGGAACGGGCATTCCGTATTTCAATTGCCGTGTGTGTGTTGGGTCCTATGAGTATTAAATGTTTCCATATATAAGTCATCTTTTGATGCATAATAAACACTAAATAACTGCTAAGAGCATTAACTGAGTATTTTCTGTTTTGTAGTGCACACTTTAGCTCTGTTGTTCCTTCGGAACTTGATCTGTGGTCCTAAGTGCTGTAGTGAAAGTCAACAGCTATATATAATTTGTTGATAAGGTCCAGAAAACAACGTAAGAAAGATAAAATAACGTAAAAGGTTACAGATGCGCCTAGTTTTTGTGAGTTAAGACGAAATGTCAACTGAAGGGTAAGTCCTAAATATTTGTTGTTCTTCCTTCAGTTAATTTTTTTCAAGGAATAACCTTTTTTTAATAACTATTGTATGTTTTCTCAAGTGCTTCATGCTCAAGTGAAATTTCAGTGAACGTAAGCGACGCGTTCCAACGTATTATGCTGAACAAGAGATTCGGAAGCTGGATTGAATTAGATAATGCGCTAAAGGATTTCCATAAAGTATGATAGGATAAATCTATGTTTTCTCAGATGACCCATACACACTATGTTCACGCAAAAAGTAGATTGTCGAAGGATGTGAGATATAAATACTTGTTCGTAGTGTTTCGTTGCACGTTTGGTCGTAAACGTAAATCAGGTCTGAATGTGAATAAAAAACCGTGATGATGTCACAGGTATTCAGTGTTTGACAACGCTTCTACCAGTAACACCTTCTAATATGTTTCGTTCCCGCCCAGAGAAATCAAAAGACAGAGTCGAGGAGATCGGAAGAGTATATTTGGCGATGACCAATATATCGGAATTCTCTGATCTAATCTGGCTAGCGATTGCGGTTGATGTTGATCACGGCGTTACCACACGTGATCTGGTGCGGATGACTAACCGAGCGCCTTCAGCTAGGTGAGTCCACTAAAACATATGGTCAGCATCCAATGTCGAAAACTTAGTGCTATTTATTTTGGGGATTTATTTACCGCTACAGAGTCACTCCCCCCCTAGTGGGGCAGTGACGACCCTAAGACGTGGCCAGCCAGAAGTTTAAACCCAACGAGTTTGTCGTTGGTAAACACTCTTCTGATAGCTTACTAAATTTAGCAGCTTCTGGTCGTCTTTCCTTACTATATGGGACGGAGGTACAACATAGTAAAAAAAGAAAATGTACATGGAAAATTTCGGATCCTCATAAACGTCATCGTTCTTTTCCAGCCGTCCTGGAAAAGAAAAAAAAATGTAAGTGCATGTCGAAAATACACTCGTATGTGCGTAAAAGCACAATGTCGGCGGGAAAAAAGATGGAAAATAAACTCATGAACACGTAATAGCGTTAAAAAAATTGTTTTTTTTGTTTTTTTTTTAAATAGAAATAAAAATATATAAGCATATTAAAATTGTTTTTTTTTTAAAAAATAATATAAAATGTCGAGAAGTGCCTTACGTGCAATAGTCGTTTAAATGTTCTGGAAATCTCACCCTTCTTCCAGAACGCGTCGTTTTAAGTTTATTTTCGGATACTGTCGAAGTATCATCGTGTGTGTTGGTTGTCGGATGAGGTATTATAAGTGTCGGAGTCGTGTCGTTCGATTGTACCGAAGGAAAATCCACGTAGATAGGATTTCCTTCTAAATACGCTGCTTTTAAGCGATCGATACTGATGCTATCGTTGGTTCCGTTTTTATCGACTATATAGTACTTAGATTCACGTTGAAGAACTTTGAAGGGTCCTTCGTATGCTGATTCGAAGGGTCGTCGATGCGAGTCTCGACGAACGAAAACGTGTGTACTATATCGTAAGTCAGGTTGAACGAAAACATCAGTTGATTGAGGTCGAGTGGAAGCAGGTTTAACTGAACGCATTGCGTTTGTAAGCCTGTTCGTGTAGGAGGTTAGATCCATGTTCATTGAAGAGGATGAAGGATCCACGAATTCTCCTGGAAGTCGAAGTGTCGTACCATAAACGAGTTGAGCCGCAGTGTATCCAATGTCAGCTTTCACTGCATTGCGGATACCTAGTAAGACGAGTGGAAGAGCGTCGGTCCACTGTGAAACGTTTGCAGCTGATAGCGAAGCTTTCAGTTGTCGGTGAAAACGTTCTACCAACCCGTTTGCTTGTGGATGGTAGGCGGTCGTTCGGAAGCGAGTGATTCCTAAAAGTGTGGTCAGACGACGGAAAAGATCAGATTCAAACTGACGTCCGCGGTCTGTAGTGATGGTTGAAGGGCAGCCGAAGTTTGCTACCCATCGTTCGACGAAGGTGCGGGCCACTGTTTCAGCAGTGATGTCCTTGATAGGTACTGCTTCTGGCCATCGAGTGAAACGGTCTACGCAGGTTAAGAGATAAGAGTATCCATTTGCATCTGGTAAAGGTCCTACCAAATCCAGATGAACATGGTCGAAACGAGCATCGGGAGTTTTAAACGAGCCTAAGGGACATTTATTGTGTCTGATAACCTTAGATTTTTGGCAGCTTACACAGGAGCGTGCCCACTCCCTCACGTCTTTATTCATTCCAGGCCAGCAAAACCTTTCTGCTATAAGCTTGATTGTTGCACGAACACCTGGATGCGAAAGTTTGTGCAATGTGTTGAAGACATTGCGTCGATAATGTTTCGGCA